GCCACTGCGTGTTTGTGTCCCCTGGGCTGTTGATGGCCATGGCACAAAGGGGAGGTGTCCGTGTGGAACAGCTCCAGGACCAGCACGGCAGATGTCCCATTCTTTTGAGCAGAGCTTTGTGTGCTGGAGATAATGGGTGGGAGAAGCACTGCCAGGGACACTGCTGTCGGAGCTGTTCCCAGGACAAAGTCCTGGTTAAATGAGCTGCATAATCAAGCAATGAAGGGTTTTGGTTGATTCCAAGTATGTTTTTATTCGGGATCAGACAGTGTTACAGTTATGTGTCCCTGCTGAGTGCAGGGTGAGCATCATGGGTAGGCTGTGTGGAGCTGCAGCTCTGCTCCAGGATGTTGTCTGCTGCTGTGAGGTCCCTCTGAACTGCACCACTATTGCCCACTAAGGACAGGTCTGAAACCAATCTGCCTTGCCCAGGACACCGTCCCCCAGGCCCAGCCCTGAAGGGATGGTGAGGGGCTGCACAGGCTCGGGCAGGTGATGGATGCCTTTAATGTTTCCAGTCTCTTGTGCTCACGCACCGAACTCTGGGTCAGCATCTGTGGAGGGGGAGCCCTGCGAGGGACCAGCAGCATCCCCAAGGTGCTGAGTGCCCCTTCGGGCCTGTCCTTGTAGGGGAGCTGCTCCTGGGGGTCCCTGTGGGAGAAGCTTCCAGCAGAGCTTCATCCAGCTGCTCCCTGTGGTTCATGTGCTTAATGAACCCCTGATATTGTAATTACCTCACAGATAATTACCTCACAGGGAAGCAGCTTTAGGCTTTGCTATCTTGCCTATGCCTAAACCCCAAATTGATCAGATGGTTTTATCCTTAATGTTTGTGAGAACTGTAGAGCAAGTTAATTTGAACTTTCAATTACCCGTGTTGCACAGACATTAATTACCAGGGAAGGACTGTATTTCAGTTGCCACCAGTGTCATCATAGCACAGGATGGATATGAAAATGCTCTTGACTGGCAGGGGAGGTGGCTGTGTGTCCCAGGCAGCCGTGACACCGTGGCTGTGTCTAGCATGGTGTGATCCCTGTTTGCTGCTTCCTGACAGCAGCCGAGAACTTAAATGATTTATGTTTGTTTTATACATAATTGGCATGGTTCTGCCTGCAGCTCTCAGTGCAAGTGCGAAGCACAGAGGTCCTGGGGGTGCTGGCTGTCAGGGATTTCCCTCCAGCTGCTTTCCAAAGCATGAAAACTCTGGCAGAAATGAGTGGTGTCTTGGTGTAAGAACTGAGCTGTCCAGGGAGAACTTGGTTGAAGGAGATGATCTTGTTAAAAGTCAATATTGAGGTTATCCTTTCAGCAGTGCTTAGGTACAGTAAAGCCTTTCTCACCAGCTTTACTATTTGCTCAACAAACTCAGGAAACCAGAGATCACAATCTTCCTGCTCTTCCCTGCAAGGAAGAGCTGCCCATCCCTGTCTGTGTCCCAGGTCTCCTGCTGGTGGTCCCCAGCCGTACTAGAGTGACTGGTGTGTTCCCCAGACGTTCTCTGTGAGCCCAGCAGACAGCAGGTCTTGACAGAGGTGCAGTAAACACATGCTTACATGGCTCTGTCACACATTTCCCTTTTTCCCTCTTTTCTCTCTGTTTCTGCTGTAAAATTTAGTGTTCAAAACTGAACTCAGTTTTCCAAAAGGCTTGAGCTGTTTATCCGTCATGGAAAATGCCTCCTCACTGCTTCTGGCCCTTCAGAATGAAGGACTTAGTTCTTTCTGCTCCAGAGGCTGCAGGTCTCCTGTTCCTCAGCTTCCTCCCTGAGGCTGCTGCTGTGCTGTCCCCCAGAGCAGAGGCTTTTCCCAGGCAGTCCCAAAGCTTACTGATGCTTTTGGGTGCCACAGGCAGTTTTAAGTTTACGCTTCACATTTCAGGTTTCAACCTCTCAGGTGAAATTGCAGTTCTAGAGATACTGGGGGAGTGGGGAGAGATGAACACCCAAGGGAAGTCAGCAGAAGCTGGAGGAGAAATCATTATATGTGGGCAAGGTGCAACCACTGCAAATAAGCATTTTTATAAGCTAGAGCTTGGCCGTGGTCCGGGACTGGGTAGGATTAAGGTGTTTGATGTAGGTGTGCAGTGCTGGTTAAGGCTAAGCCTTGACTCTGCTCTGAAAACAAAGTAAGCGAAATCAGCTTTGTGTGCTGACATGTCCCAGTGGCTCCGAGCCGGAATCAATAGAGTGTCTGTGTGGGGAAGGCTTACAGTGCATTGGTCTCATCTTCCGAAGGCAGAAGCCAAAGGCAGAGAAATTCAAGAAGAAAACCCACTGCTCCCAGTCTGGAGGCCAAGGGCAGATCCCTGAGTCAGCTGTGGGTGTGTGCACCAGCCGGGGCAATGACATCCCTCGGACAACAGGGGCACGGATCACTTCATTTTGGGTGACTTCTGCATATACAGGAGTTAAAATGTCTTTGCACAGCTGAGATGGAGCAATCCCCAGTACTTACCAGCTCTGCAGATCCTGCCCAGAACACAAACCACTGGTGTTTGAGCCCAGGGAAATAGTGCTGCCCCTTCTTAATGAGTCTGAGAGAAGTCAGGACGTGCTATTAAGTGATTAGGTGACCCCTCATCTGAGTAGAGACTTCAGCCCAGTGCATTCCTTCAGAAT